TTTTGAAGTGTTTAGATTATCTTTGACATTATTGAATTTGCAGTTATCAATTTACCTATCGATATTCTTCTATTGAATGCCGACATCATAAGAAAAATATGTACATCGATTACCAGTTGGGATATTTAAATGCTTTTCAAATTAATAGTAAAACGATAAATATCAAATAAATTAAATAAAAAATTGCTAGCTAGGATACCTTATGATTGATTAACTATTGTTTTTTTATATCTTAGGATTAAATTAATTTTATTTTCTGCTGTATATTGATTAGGTTAGGTTAGGCTATGGCTGATAATAAACCTAAGATCGTATTCCTTTATTCCTGATGTAAGCACTTCTAATAAAAAGCTAAAATATATTTCTAGCTCTTGTGTACAGCTTTTGTAAAACTCGGACTACTAGTTGCGTTATAGAAAGTTATGAAAATAGTTTTTAGAAAGGTCAGGATTAGTACTTAGTTCTTGTGTTGCGTGCGCCTCTCAGATTTCGCTGTAGCTTCAGCTTCAGGTAGGTGTGTCCTGGCCATATACAATGTGCTGCACTTTGACATTTTGACAAACAGCGCTGTCACGCATCATCAGGCTAATAACATTCATAAATATGTAATGCATTGGGTAAACAATGGAAAGTTTTGCACTTGTTCTCTGCTTGTCTGGCGCAATTTACTAAACTGACATAAAAATTCTCTAAACAATTGAGAGGGAATGAGAAAGAAAGGGAGAGAGGAAAGAAGAGAGAGAGAGAAACGAGTTAAGTTTCCCGTTCCGAATGCGGCACGTTGCACGTTACGTCACTTGTGAGGGTGGCATGTTGTACGCTTATAGCAATCAGCCTATGTCTCTTTCCATTTGTGCGTATGCATGTGTGTGTGTGAGTTCTTTGTCTGTATATGTAATATGGGTTAAGTGCTCGCCATTTGACTGCCGATTACATGAAATGAACGCTCGATTAGCACAAACGCTTACCACCTGTCCATAAATTGAGGCTGCTCTTATTTTTGTTGGTATTCCTTTCTCTCTCCCTCTATTTCTCTCTTTCTGTCTTATAAACAACGATCTAATTGAGTTGCTTATGTTGTTGCCACTGAAAATTTGAATACTCAATTGGCGCTGACATTTTGGCTTCGGCAGCCGCCAGTTTTAATCGCTGCAAATGTCTCGTTGAGGGCGATAGCATTTTGGAAACATATTCACAGTAGCAAAACCAACGCAGAACGTGTTTGTTGTAAGCATTTTGATAGAGCACATAGATTGGAAACTTAAATCTACGAATTCAGAATCAATTTACAAAAAAAAAGTAAATGTGTGTAGGTATGTTTATAAAACGATCCAGCCTAGGCAGCGTTAAAAGAAAAACGTGCTCAGTACGTTTATTTGATGAAAGCATATTATAAAAATAATTAGCATATAAAATATGAATATATTAAGACGTCTTAAATGTCGAATGACAAAAATAAAACTAAAATACGTTGAAAATAAATATTCAAATACTTTTAGGTATTCAAAGGATTTTTGCTAAAGAGTATACGCTATTTCCTTAAGCAATGATTTGTAATTTTCCCTTGCTTTTTTTTCCTTTAATGTAAAGTTTGTTTGTTTTTATAATTATAATTATGTATATTCAAAAGTAGAGCTATTATTCTAAATATGTATTTGATGGAGATGTCGTATAGCTGTCGCGACCTTTGATGTGACATGACAGAGCATGTCAGAGCATTTGCATAAACGTTTTAATTGGCTGTGTACTTTTTTACGCTTTTTTCTCGGTGCTCTTGAGGGTGGACTAATCAAATAATGTAAAAACATTTGTATTTTTTGTAATGGGCTGTTTATACCCTGAACCCATTGAAAATGGGAAATCAGGGTATAATGGTTTTGTT